ATCCTAGGGACTCATATTTTGCTTTAAAGGTTTTTAGATGCTGAAACATATTAGCAAACAAAATTTCACTGTTCCTAAATAAAAATTTTTCAATAGCCTTAATACATACCTGCTTCTTCAGGACCAATAAACCAGCAAAAATCTTGAAACTCCTTCTAAATCACTAATTTCATTTAAAGTTCTCATAACTTACAAATTCATTAGGTATTTTCACTGTTTATAACTGTATGCTACACTCAATGCATTCAAAGGCAAGGTCTTACATGTCGTTCAATGTACTTGGTACATCTGTTGTAAATTCCAACTGTTTTGTTTCCTCTTTCAGATAGAACATAAACATTCACAAAACTCCAAAGCTGTGACATTCTAAGCAAAACTGGGCCCACTCCAAGAATTTTCATTGAAACAGAGTTAGATTTACGATGTTTACATCCAACGTCTTTGCACCAAAAAATTTCACGTCTCTTCCACAATGTCCCAGAAGCTGAATTACTTGAAGGAAATCTAATACAAAAAAGCTGAGAACTCAACCAATTCAAACAGCCCAAATTCAGGGGGCTGCCATCAATGCAATGTGTCTTACAGGGTTCTGGGCCAACCTAGCATCAAAACTACCATTCAGGGTAGAAATTAAAACTCTGCAAGAGGCTCCGAATAAGAATAACCCAATTTGAAAAGTGAAGAACTTGATAAATATGATCTTGCTGTTATTCATCCTGTTTCAATTAGCACATCAGAGCCAATTCTGGGGTAAATTTACAAACTGACTAATATTCTCACAAATCTGCTTCCTAATTAATTAAGTGCAAACAGACCACAACCCTGTCTGCATATGCCTTTTTGAAAACAAAATCTAAAATTGCTTTGAAATAGTCTCCATGAAAATAGCATTAATTTTCCAGCCAAAACACAACACGAGGATACAGAATACTGGGTTGAAAGGCTAAGAGGAAACTTATAAACCATCCTGACTCATTTTACTGAGAAAGAAACTAAATTTCAGGAAGGACAATGTTATAAACAATGCAGTAAAACTGCTTAATGCATAAATCTGTTATAAGAAAGGACACTTTCCAACAAAACTTCAGGACTCTAATATTTCAAAAGGCTAAATTTGGGGAGCACTACAAGTGGCTCCTCCCACCTCCTGCCCAGTGCCGACCATGATGGATGATCAGAATGGGTAATAGCTGATAGCTGCTAAATCAACTAGATGTAAACAATAATCCTATTTCATGGATTTAAACTAGATCCAGAATTTAACTGAGGAAAAATTTTAAGTACTTTGTTCCTTAAACAATGATAGGGATTTTCTTTTTTCCTACTGACAATGGACGTAGAAGTTGAAATTTGTTAGCATTTTAATCTATTGCTTTGTTACTAAGAAGTCATTAACTTTACTTAAAAATTAAAAGGTAATGATATTAGCAGTAGTGTGGTGGTAGTAGTAACAGAGTAGTAATCATAATAGTAATACTGTCTAACACATATAGCACTTTAAGTGTTGGACACTGTGTTTAATACATTAATCCTCACATTTAATCATTTAATTAATCACTTAGTCATTTAAGCATTACATTCAATACATTTAATCCTTACAGTTACCCATTAAAGAAGGTGTACTATATTATTCTTATTTTACAGATAAGGAAACAAGGTACAAAGAGGTTAAGTAATTTGTCCAAAATCCCATGGCTAGTTAAATAGCAGAGCCAAAATTCAAGCCTACACAGCCTGATTTCAGAGTAAAAATAATTCATTTCATCGACGGAATTTAACTACATGAAAGTAATACTGAGGACATCAAAACAAATACATTGCATAGTTTTTAAATTAAAAAAGAAAAAAGAACACAAGAACATTCACCTTGTTTTTCTTCCCTTTTAAAACCTGAGCCCCCAAATGACAAAATGTACTTCAATCTACAAATGTAAAAAGACTTGTAAATGCCCCAAGCGCACCTCATTATTTTTTCCTACCATCTATTCTGCACACTAAGGTCTCTCTTTTCTAGCTCTCTTAGGAGAAGTAAACTTCCACATCTACATAGATTAACTATAGGACTAAGAACTGAGGCTGCCTACATGCACATGACTTTATTATTTGTGCCAAGAAATTCTTACCCAAAGATAAGGCTGTAAATCAGTAAATAACTTCATTATTTACTTCAGGAACTTCCCAAAAGTCCATTTACCCCAACAATAGACTACTCAAACAGTCCCCTTTTCGCAATATTCCCTCAACTGGACAAACAACTCACTTATTCAACAACTGTGTACTTACAAGGCTTGGTTAAGATCCTTGTCTCACTGTTTCCGCTAATCCTAAACTATTATATCAGGAACTTACGCAGTTTCCATCACTGCACTGAAAGACCCACCTTAAATCTCTCAAGGTCACACCCAAAACTCTACAATATCTGCCCATTATCTCTCCCTGGTAAAGTTGACCAAGACTGTCAAGATGTGCTCTCCTTGTAGTGAGCAACAGTTTTGTTGATTAAAGCTATTCTGGCCTTCTTTGGGGGAGTTAACAGTCAATAGAAGGAAATGAACCAATTTGATTTCAACTGCTCTCTTATCAACAACACCTTTTTTTTAAAAAAATCTCTTCTCCCCTCATGCCTATGCTAGACCATAGGTGAAATTAAATATACCAGGAATTGAGATCACTATAGAAAAAGATAAACATAAACCAGCAATGAAAGGGCCTGCATAAATCTAATAATAAATTCAACACAAGGCTTCAAACTATATTTCCTTGCAGCCACAATTTAAACTTGAAGCTGAATTGGATTATTTGCACATTTAAAAAGTGTCTAAAAGGATTCCTAAAATTGAGATTTAGAAAAAAAAAGCCTTGAAATGCCAAAATTTAAAGTATTCTGCCATCTGATTAGATTTTACAAAAATTTTCTTTAATCAACTCATGTTTCTAATGTTATGTACCAAATATAGACACATGAAATATAGCTAATCTTCAAAGAAAGCTGACTAAAAATTATTTAAACCTGTATAAATATAAAATTAGTCATTTTGACATCACGTTTTCATTTAATCAATGTTATTAGATTTCAGTTATATTTATCTATGCAATTATTAAAGTATTAACTAGTATTTACTATAATTCTATTTTATTCCTGTCTCTCCAAACATCACATTTTGCTGAAAAAATTAAAACAGTTAAAAACCCAATTGAGAAAAGAGAGGGAAAAAAAAAAACAATTGAAACGTATTAAGATACCAAAGATAAGCTTTTTAATGAAGTTGAGGCCCTTAAACAAGAATTTGTCTCATCACATTAAAACATGTGTGTATATTATGTATGTATGTGTATGTGTGTGTGTGTGTATGTATGTGGGTATAAATGTGTGTGTATTCATCCTGAGGTAATCCCAATTTTGTTTTCCATAGCTTATCAACACCAGCCCTTTCAAGTAGTACTATTACTGCCTGTGTAAGTGTTGCTAAACGTGTTATTGTAAACATCTTGCTATGGAGCCATACGTGTCGAGGAAAGAAGATGGAGGTTACAAGAGACCAGGTCTGCATCTTGGATTCCCTACTCTAAATTGGCAGAAATAACTTATTCTCAGATAGCCTCAGCCCACTTATCTGGAAAAGAATGATATATCCACCTACTTGGCATAATTGCTGTGAATATTAAAGGAGATAATGTATAAGGTACTCAGTTTACAACCCAGCACAAGGTGTTAAGGTCTCTGTAAATGTTCGTTACCCATCATGCATGTTAGTTCCCTATAACTGTGGTCCTAAGGATCTACAAGATATTAAAGCACTTCCTCAATAATTAAAGAAGTATTCATTATGCAACAAGATCTTTAAGGTTCAGATCCTTTCAACCAATAATTCTATTTCTAGGAACCTAGCCAGAAGAAATGACTAGAGATACTGTCAAATATTAATGTACAAAAATATTCTTCAAAGCTATATTTTTAACATCAAAAACCTGGAAACAACCTAAGTATCCCAATATTATACTACATCTATATGACTGCATAGTGTACAACTATTGAAATACTCATGAAGAATTAAGAGCATCCAAAAATGCTCCCTAAAATTAAATTAAAACAATAGCTTACGGACATACATCTCAACCATCTTAACAATTACATGTCAGTGTACACACATACACACATTCAAAAGAAAAGGATTTAGAGGAATGACTATATCAAGATAATGGGAAAACAGGTAACTTTTACTGTTTCCTTTCTTACTTTTTTTCCCAAATTTTCTACTGTATACCTGAATTACTTTGATATTTAGAAAAAATAAAACTAAAAAACCCTTTCAATTATGTTTATTATTTAGAATATTCTAGTTTTTTAAGGATAATCTTTTAATTCATACCCATCTCATTTCCAAAAGGATTTGGAATAGTTGACAAAACTACATACAGCAGACTAAAATAAATAGAAGACAAATAAAGATAAAAAGCTTGCAAACTCTCAGTATACAACCATCTGTACAATCTACCTATCTATGTATGTGCACACATGTGTATATATGTGTGTATGTGTATATATATATTTATATATTCAAAGAATTTTGTTTCAGATACTAAAAACTACAGGAAGTTTCTCCAGCTTTCTCAGAAAGGGCATACCACAGATATGGTAGACATTGTTTTAAATTGTACATTAGGAGAATTATTTCAGTGAATTAAGTGAATTGGTTATGTGATTGGGAGGAGAGGAGGCAGATTAAAAGTCAAGGAATCAAGACCTGAAACAGGATAAGCATGACCATGATAAGCAACTCAAGGAAAACTTTTTTAAGAATGTAGATGCAAAGATATATATAGATGGAGACAGATTTTTCCCTCATGTCACCTTTATTCATGTCTTTAAAGAAAAAAATTAAAATACTAAAATTATATTTTAATTTCTGCATATATAATACACCAAGAAAATAAACTAACAAAATAAGCTCCTATTAACAAAATGTATTTGGATATACTGTATTCAAGATAGCACTTACCTTCACTGATGGCATGGGGCTTAATAATGCAACAGGTACAATTCGTAAACTTAGCAGTGTTTGCTGGTCCACAAACTCCACTTGAAGGAAAAAATAACTCCATTTCCTAAAGACAGAGAGAAATAACTTCGGCCTATGTAATCTCTTATCTTAAACTTCTAGGATATTTACATGAGAGGGGAAAAACTATGCAATTAAAGTTTTATAATATAAATTCTTTGCTTCAAGTTTTCCAAAAATGATTTTAACAAGACTAACTGATTAACTGAACCCTGTTTTAAGTCTTATAATCAAAAGATCATATAAAAAAGTATTAATTAAAGTAATGAGAATATGTATCATTCTGCCCCAGGATTAAAACTAATAACATCTTAACATATTTTGAATATTGGCAGTAATGAAAACAAAGTTCCTATTTTCCCCAAAGCATTAGTTCATAGACACAGGTCCAATTTTAAACTCTTTATTAAAATATGTAAAATTAAAAACTAGGGAATTCTTTATAGAAATAGATTAGTATTTAAGAATCAGAACCACAAAATTACTTTTAACCAGTCAAAACTAATGAACTGGGGGGCTCCTGGCTGGTTCAGTCAGTAGAGCATGCAACTCTTGATCTTGGGGTTGTAAGTTCGAGCCCCATGTTGGGTGTAGAGATTACTCAAAAATAAAATCTTAAAAAAAAACAAAAAAACAAAAAAACAAATGAGCTTACTACAGTTCTAGCATACAATTAAATCATATAAACTTTATTTTATAACCAGATTCAGGCTATGTTATTTGCTTTGCACATGGTTCACTTAGATGACAACTCAGCAACAACTTGAACAGCCCAAACACAGTCACACTAATTAATTTTTAATCATTTAGACAGAAGCTTTCCTGCCTCTAAGCTTTTGATACTGTTATTTCTACTATTCCCTATAAAACCCTCTGTCCCAAGGTCCAAAGAATTCTACCAACTTCAAATGTCACCTCCTCAGGAGGCCTTTTGTGATGCCCCCATTCAATACCCTGTACTTTTATAAAATTGTGGTTATTTGGGTAATTGCCCTTCACAAATTTCAAATTTGAAACAAGTAACTAACCTGCATAGCTTTGTAAGTCCTTTAGCACCTAAACAAATGGCTCAAATACTCATTTTTCGTTGAATTTAAAAACGGAAAGATCATAGGATATGTAAGTGTGCCACACTGACGTACAATCTTAAAAATCACAGAGAAGATGAGGAATTGTCCAGAGTAATGTATATACCAGTGCAATTCTGGCATTAAGATATTTTAGAATAAAAATGTTCTATTCCTTAGACATCAAGTACTTTTCCATCATACTGCTTCCTTTATTACTCTACTTAAGTAGTAAGAACAGTAATAAACAACTTCCAGCCATCTGTATTGTCATGGCTCCCACGTTTCTGCCTCCAGTCCAACCTCCTTCCTAAACTCCACACCCATATCTATGCCACTACCACTACCACTTAAATTCATATTTAAAATGTCCTGATTTCCACTGTCTCCCATAAATCTGTTCACTCCCACCCTGTTTTTCCTGCCCCTCCAACTGCACAGGCCAAAGAAAATAAACTTATTCCTCTCCTTTTCTTAGCCATCCATTCAATCTATCAGGAAATCCTTTGTAATGCACCCAGAATCCAACCACTTCCACATCTGTCACCTTGGTCTATGCCCACCAATTCTCCCTTTGATGACTCCTAACTGATGTCCCAAGCCAACCTCCCCCACATATACATACCTACACCCACCTGGCCTGATCTACTCTTAACCCAGCAGGCAGCAGGAAATCTGTAAAACATCATGTCGCTCCTCTGCACAGAACTCTCCAATGGCCTTTCATCTCATTCGGAGTGAATGCTAAAGTTCTAGATGTCTGCAAGGCCTCATGTGACCTGGCCCCTAACTATACCTTGAGCTCATCTCCTAGTCCCATGAAAACACTTAGATTTCCCACCCGGCCTCACTGGCCTCATCCACTCACTGTTCACCTAAATGTAGCCAACATGTTCCCACCTCAGAAACTTGGCATGCATTGTTCCCTTTCTCACGGAACGTTCTTTCTCCCTGATATTTGCATGGCTTTCTCCCTCACTTCCTTCTGATCTCTGCTTAAAAGTAGAGTGAGATTATGCTAAGTAAAATAAGTCAAACAGAGAAAGTCAATTATCATATGGTTTCACTTATTTGTGGAACATAAGGAATAGCATGGAGGACATTAGGAGAAGGGAAAAATGAAGGCGGGTAAATGGGAGAGAGAGATGAACCATGAGAGACCATGGACTCTGAGAATCAACTGAGGGTGTTAGAGGGGAGGGGGGGTTGGGGGATGGGTTAGCCTGGTGATGGGTATTAAGGAGGCCATGTACCGTATGGAGCACTGGGTGTTATACAAAAACAATGAAGCATAGATCACTACATCAAAAACTAATGATGTATTGTATGGTGACTAACATAACATAATAAAATTGGGAAAAAAAAAAAAAAAAAAGTAGAGTGAAGACTTCCTGACCCTACCCTTAATAGCATTCCTCACCTCTACTCAACACACAATCCTTCCTCTTTTTCTATCCCTTCCCCTGCTTTATTTTCTCAGAGCACTTACCACCTGACATGTTTTATGTCTATTTATTTATTATCTAGCACCCCTCCAACCATCAGAATAGATGTAGGCTCCAAGTGAGTCAGGACCTTGTCTTGTTCACTAGAGGTTTCTCAATCAATATTTTGAAATGACTGAAATTCAGAAACTGATAAATTCTGCATGTGCTAAATAAAATATATCTATCCACGTTGCACAAATGAGAGAAATGACACCCTGAAAGCCTGAGTAACAAGCCCTTACAGGTTAGCAAGTGGCAAAGCTAGTATTTAAATCCAGGTCACACTGGTTCCAAAGACCTGAGGAACCTTTTCCATCATCTGGCTTTCACAAGTAAAGAAGCTGTGCTCAGTTGTTCTACCTCTAGTTTTAGCCAATTATTGGGCCAACTACTTTGGCCTCAACTTTCATTTCTTTTCTTCCTCAACTTTTCAAAATGAAAATTCCAGCTTTCTCATTTACATATGCTGAATAAATATGTATTTAAGGCAAGGAATATAAAGGTTTTATTTAAATATACCTTCCTAGTGAAAGTAATGCTATTTCATGCTTTTGCTTTCTCTTTCTCCCCGCACAGGTTGTCCTTTCTGTCCCAATTATCAATCTAAGCCAACATTTGCAAAAGCACTTCTACTAGGTCAATGTATGGCAACTAAATTAGAGACTTCACACAACAAATGTAAAGTCACACAAAAAAATTTTCCTTTGTGATTTGAGCTGCTTACATAAATTGCATAAAGCTCTTCTCCTTCCAAGAGTCCTTGCTATTACTCTTAGCCTTTTATATGTTCCTAACTGCCTAGAAGGGAAAGACAGAGATATGGAACTTTCTCAAAATATAAAATAAAGATTCATGGAGTCTTCAATTTTTTTTTACTCTATTTTATTTAACAAATTGTAAAGTATACAGTTGCACTGCATAATTTCACCTAAGATCCATGGTAATCTCACTAAAACATCTGACTACTCTACATTCATATCTTTAATTACCCTAATAAAAGTATCACGAAATGGTTGCCAGTTAAAAGTTTCTCCAAAACTTTTACATTATAATTTTAAATAAATATCATTTTTGTAAATGACCTGGACTAAAACATTAAAATATTGAACTCTCTACATACTCTAATATCAAATAAGGAATCTGTTCTCAGAAAATCCAAAAAATTCAGAAATGAAACACAAAGTCCCATGACTTAGTTTCAGTTTTATATTTAGCTCCATGATGCAGCCTTATTTACAAATAAAAACAAATGAGAACCTAACAAAATGTCCAAAAGTAAGGGGATATTTAAATAAATCATGTTCTATTCATACAATAAAATATTCTGCACCCACCGAAGTTTACTCTTATGACAGTAATCTGCTAACATGTAAAATGTTATATTAAGTGAAAAAAAACGAATCAAATTAAATTAAAATCATGTGTTGGAGAGGATGCAGAGAAAGGGGAACCCTCCTACACTGTTGGTGGGAATGCAAGCTGGTGCAGCCACTCTGGAAAACAGTATGGAGGTTCCTCAAAAAGTTGAAAATAGAGCTACCCTACGACCCAGCAATTGCACTACTGGGTATTTACCCCGAAGATATAAATGTAGTGATCCGAAGGGGTACATGCACGCCAATGTTTATAGCAGCAATGTCCACAAATAGCCAAACTATGGAAAGAGCCAAGATGTCCATCAACAAATGAATGGATAAAGAAGATGCAGTATACACACACACACACATACACACACACTGGAATATTATGCAGCCATCAGAAAAATCCGAAATCTTGCCATTTGCAATGACGTGGATGGAACTAGAGGGTATTATGCTAAGCGAAATAAGTCAATCAGTGAAAGACAAGTATCATATGATCTCACTGATATGAGGAATTTGAGAAACAAGACAGAGGATCATAGGGGAAGGGAGGGAAAAATGAAACAAGATGAAACCAGAGAGGGAGACAAACCATAAGAGATTTTTAATCTCAGGAAACAAACTGAGGGTTGCTGGAGTGGTGGGGGGTAGGAGGGATGGGGTGCTGGGTGATGGACATTGGGGAGGGTATGTGCTATGGTGAGTGCTGTGAATTGTGTAAGACTGATGAATCACAGACCTGTACCCCTGAAACAAATAATACATTATATGTTAAAAAAAAAAAGGTAGGAAGGGAAAAATGTGCGTGGGGGGGGGAATCGGAGGGGGAGAAGAACCATGAGAGACTATGGACTCTGAGAAACAACTGAGGGTTTTAGAGGGGAGGGAGGTGGGGGATGGATAAACCTGGTGATGGGTATTAAGGAGGGCACATATTGCATGAAGCACTGGGTGTTATATGCAAACAATGAATCACAGAACACTACATCAAAAACTAATGATGTAATGTATGGTGATTAACATAACATAATAAAATAAAATAAAAAACTAATGATGTAATGTATGGTGACTAACATAAAATAAAATCAATAAAAAAAATTTAAACCATGTACATGGTGTTTAGTTCATAAATTATATAAATGATCAAGGGAATGAGCTGGAAGAAATATGTCATAAACAAACTATAAACATCACGGGCAAGATTACTAATGCCAAACGTTCTTTTCTCAATTTCCAAATTCTCCAGAAGTGCTTCCATTACTTCTGTATTCTAAAAGACTGTAATGGCACCTGGGTCGCTCAGTCAGGTTAAGTATCTGCCTTCAGCTTAGGTCATGATCCTGGAGTTCCTGGGATTGAGCCCCACACAGGCTCCCTGCTCAGCGGGGAGTCTGCTTCTTCCTCTCCTTGCTCCCCTCTGTGCTCTCTCTCACTATCTCTCTCTAAAAAATAAATCAAATCTTATAAAATAAAATAAAATAAATAAAATAAAATAATAAAATAAAATAAAATACTGTAATGTTTAAAACAAGGTAGGCCGCCACTTTCAGCATACACAGTGGAGGCTGGTGGGTAAGCACGGGGCTGTGGAACCAGAGGTGCCCGGGCTCAAGTCCTCATGAGGCCAAGGCGCTTAAATTCACCGAGTCTCAGTTCCTGGTAAATTGGGATGATATAAGCAAATGCATAGGAGATTGTGAGAATTAAATGAGATACTAAAGTGTCTGGAACAGTGCCAGTCAAATAGTGAGCACCCAATAAACATAAGGTTTGTTGTTGTTTTGAATTCCAAAACTTTTGTGAACACCAGTGACCTAGATCCTGGAGGTATGAAAATAAATTGGACATCCTCAAAGAATTCACAGTCTACTAGGAGGGTAAACATAAACACAAATGCTTTTAAAATATGGTAAGTAATAGAGGTATGCAGTAGGCATGAAGCAAGCATCAAGGAAGAGTACCTCACACAGAGCCAAGAAATTGATAATAGTTGAGCAGAGTTGTTGTTACTGGTTTTTAAGTTTTGTTGAGGTCCAATTAACATACTTTAAACTGAATATATTTAAAGGATACAATTTGATAAGTTTTGACATTTGTTTATTCCTATGAAAATATCACCACAATCAAGATAATAAACATATTAGTCACCTTCCTTTGGATAATCCCTTTCTTCTGCTTCTCCCTGCCTCCCCTATCATTAACCATTACCATTACCTCCCTTACCATTAATAAGTTGGCCCTATGACCAATGATCTGTTTCCACCATTATGAATTAGTTTAATTTTTAACAATTTTACTTAAATATAGTTACATAGTATGTACTCTTTTGTCTAGCTTCTTTCACTTAGCAAGATTACTTTGAGATTCATCCACTGTAGTGTATATCAATATTTCATTCCTTTTTATTGCCAAATATTATTCCATGTGTTAATATCATGATTTGTTTATCCACTCATCTCTTGGGACCTTTGGGTTATTTCTAGTTTTTGGATATCACAAATAAGGCTGTTATGAACAACACCGTCATGCACAAGTCTTTGTATTGATATTTGCTTTCATTTCTCATGGGAAAATACTTAAGAGAGGAATGGTTGGATCATAGGGTAGGTGTATGTTTAACATTTTAGTTAACTGCTGAACTGTTCTCCAAAGTGATTGTACCCTTTTAAATTCTCATCAGCAGCATATGACAGTTCTAGTTTCTCCTCACACTTGCCACTTGAAATGGTCAGTCGTTTAAACCTTAGCCATTCTAAAAGGTGTGTAGTGGTATCTCACTGACGTTTTAATTAGTACTTCCATAATGTGTGCTTATATACCATTCATGTATCATCTTTAATTAAGTGCCTGTTCAAATTTTTGTCCATTTCTAATGGCGATGTTTATTTTCTTAATAGGTGTGAAATCAGCATAAAGAAAGACAAATAGATCAATAAAGCAGAAAGAATCCAGAAATATTCACAGATATATAGTCAACAAATATGACAAATGTGCAAAGGCAATTAAGTGGAGAAAAAATTGTGATTTTAACTAATGGTGCTGGAACAATCAGATGTCTATATGCAAAACAATAAATTTTGGTCATATGCTATACCATATATAAAAATTAACTCAAAATGGATCATGGAGCTAAATATAAAAACAAAAACTGTAAAATTTCTAGAAGAAAACAGAAGGGAAAATTTTGTGACCTTGGATGAGGTGACAATTTCTTTTTTTTAATTATGTTCAGTTAGCTACTGTATACCATTAATTTTTGATGTAGTGTTCAATGATTCATTAGTTACATATAATTTCTTAGATGAGACACCACAATGAAAGAATGAATTGATAAACTGGACTTCATCAAAACTAAAAACTTCTACTCATCCAAGGACATTGTTAGAATAAAAATGCAAATAACACACTCTGAGAAAATATTTGCAAATCATATTTCTCTCTTCAAACAATAAACACCTTCTCCCCCATCCTCACTTTTAGCTGTTTTTGACCTTGCTTCCTATTGTCTTATTAAGAAAAGTGAGGCAATCAGAATAAGCATCTGTACCCACATACTCTGCCTTCCCATTTGTTGCACCAGACGGCTACCCCTGCACCAACGTGCAGTCAACCTGGGCTCTAATTTCCACTCATTCTCACCTAATCAATGACATTGTGCCAGGAAGTCTTCCTCTTTTCCTATATCCTCAATTTGTCACATCTGTAATTCTTCTCATCTTAAAAAAAAAAAAAAAGACCCTGCTTTTCCTCACATCTACTACCTCATTTCTTTCCTCAACTTGCATCAAAACTCCTCAAAAAAGTTTCTATATTCACTGTCTCCAATTTTCTTTTAAATCCGTTCCAGTAGGACTTTGCCTCCCCTCCTCCATCTCTTACCAACTTCCCCAATGACTCTGCATTGCAAAACCCAATAGTCAATTCTCAGTCCCCCTCTTTCTTGATAGATCTGCCTCATTTGACCCCACTGATCATTCTCTCCCTTTAGAATACTTTCCCCACTTGGTCTCCAGAACATAATTATGTCTGAGTTTTTTCCTTCTACTTCACTGATGGCCCCTGCTCTACCTCCTTTGCTGCATCCTCCTCCCCAACCTTCTACTAGGACAGAAAGTCTCCATCTTTGTTCTCTTTTCTTCTCTATCTGTACTTTCTCCGAGCTAATCTCAACCAGTCTCTCGTGGCTTTAATGCCATATGGGTGTCAGTGACCCCATATTTATGTCATTAGTCCAAACCTCCCTCCCCAACTCCAGACTCCCATAACTAAATTTTTTGCTTAACGTCTCTCTACTTTGATAACTAACATCCACGTTAAGTTTGCAATGTCCAAAATGTAACTCCTGAGTTTCCATCCATACTGACCCTAGCCACAGCTTTCCTTATTTCAGGTTAGGTAAATTGGAGCCTTTCAGTCCTTCAGGCCAAGAACTTTGGAGTAATCCTTGCTATCTCTTTTTCTCATATTCTAAATTCAATCTGGAAGGAACTATTGTTCATTTGACCTTCAACCATTAAAACGTATTTTAAAATGTATCTATATACTCTTCTCACTGCTACCACCCTAGTCAAAGCCAACATCTCCCTGGATTATTGTAACAGCCTCTTAACTGGGCTCCCTGTTGCTACTCTTGTCCTCTACAGTCTATTCTCAAAGCAGTAAGCCAGTATGGCCCTTTTAAATGCCAAGTCAAACATGTCAGTCCTCCACTTAAAACCCTGCAAGGGCTCCCAGCCTACAAGACCATGTGATATCTCTCCTGATTATTTCTGTGACCTCATCAACCCCTCCTTTCCTCACTCCCATCCAACTACACTGTCTTCTTTCCTGTTAACTGAATGAGCCAAGCAGAAATAAACTATTCAAGGAATAGCAAGATGGTCAGTATACCTGGGACACAGTGAATAAGGGAGAGACTGGTTGGAGATAAAGTCGGAGAGACAGAAGGGAATCAGATCAGGTTAGAGTTCTGGAGGCTACAATAAAGACTTGTGATTCTTTTATAAAAGAGATAAAAACTCACTGGAGAGTCTTTAATAATTGAATTGTTAATCTGATTTGTTTTTAAAAGCTCACTCTTGGCCTAGTTAATGTTACGTGAGCAAGGTAAAATTTTTATAAATTGAGTGTAAGAGAAGAAGGAAGAGGAAAGGAGAATTAGGAGGCTTTTGCAGTAGTCCAAACAAAATAGAACAGTGACCTAGACCACAACAATCAGATTCAAGGTCTAATTTGAAGGGAGAACTGAAAGAATCTGTTGATGGAGCTGTAAGAAAAAGAAAAATTCAATTATTAAAAAACTGCCTACTATTATTTTAATGAAAGCATGACCAGACTAAAAACCACCTTATATTAGCTGAGAAACTTGTTGTGATGCTAAGAATAAACTTGCAACTTCATCAAATCAACATCACCATAACCCAGTATAATACCTTACTTATATGGATTTAAAACAAGAAGTAATGATAGGAAGCATAAAAACTTTTTCATAAACACTAGCTCCAAATGGGAAAAGAAAAGGATATTTAACTTGAAGATGGCATTAGATCTGAGTCAGAAACAAAATATATGAAATGATGCTTCTTTCTGAATATTTACTATCCATTACCTGGTCTCACATGAAGTCAGTAATTCAAACATTGATGAGACTGAATAATTTAAGTGGCTTTGGAACGTAAACTGGGATGATGAGTATTTTAACTGGAAAAAACTTACCTTGGCCATGACCAGGTTACCAGTTCACAAAAGAGACATATTACTGAACCACTGTTTAATACTAGGCAAAGGGTCAAGGTTTTCTCTACTCTTAGATCAGCTGTAGAAGCTGTCCCAAGTCAGCAGTGACAGAAATGCTTTACTCTAACACAAAACATTTAACAAAACAAAAACAGAATTAAAATATTTTTAAAACACCTTACTCTGGCAGCAGAAGCAAAAGAATTGGGGCCATGAACTGCGTTTCTTATGCCATCGGTTCCGAAGAGGGCTCTCAGGCTTCCAGGAGCATCCGTACGAGCCATCCCGGAGTTTGCGGGTCCAAGCAATCTTTTCCACTCACATATGGCATCATCTCTTAAAATCTCCATGGCAATAGTAGGACCACTTGTAATAAACTGGATCAGCTCACTACAGAACAAGTAAAAGCTTGATTTGCTTCATTTTTCTGTCAACCTACGTATCTCTGTTAATAAGAATATATTACAATTGGAGTACTTCAATACACATATGAGTATTATGATCTCCAAACTACTGGATATAGTGAATTCTGCATGGGCAAAATAAAATTTTCATAAATTGAGTGTTTTGTGGTAGCCTGAGTCACTACAAAACACTAGTGTTGTCAAATCATTTACTGTTGGCAAAAAAAAAAAAAAAAAAAAATCAGTGTTTCATTGAATTTAAGACTACTTCATTGACTTAAAATGCATATTATTGATCAATTGATTATTGCTTCTCCCATTGCTCTGAAAGGTACAGAAGGATCTTCCTTTTTATTTTAATGTGGTTTACCACTGCAGTCAAATAAAATTTCATAATATAGAAAATGATGAGAGTGGTCTTATGTTTACAGTTAGAATTTAATTTTTGTGTAGATTAGAATTCAAAGGATGACAGTAAACTTTCAGTCAATAAACAATGAGTTGGTCTAGTAATAAAGAAAAAACAGAATAACAGGCCTTGAAAAAATATCCTCTAATTACTATAAAAGCTACTCTGGGATATTCTTATCTCAAGTTATTAAAGAATACACACAGGTTCTTAATTAAAAATCCAGCACTAAGTCACAGTAGCTCAAGCCATGAAAAGCAGCAGCTCATTTTCCTTTGCCACTAGTTTGTTATACATATAGTAACATATACTATTTCAAGGAACAAAAGTATTAGTTAATAAGGGCTCTGTGAACATTGTTTTATGTATACAAGAATGCCAAGAGCACAACAAAAACACTCAACCCAGGGGCGCCTGGCTGGCTCAGTCAGAAGAGCTAAGAGTTTGAGCCCCATGTTGGGTGTAGAGATTACTCAAGTAAAAATCTTGAAAACCTTTAAAAAAATACTCAACATAAAATATAATTATCACTCTTTTAATCTAGTGAAATCTAAAAAGAAAGCTATACCTTTTCTAATTTAAGCAAATCATCCTATTTGCTTCTGATTAAAGTTTAAGATATTTAATGATAAAAATTCTAATCTAATAAGAGGACAGAAAAAAACAATTCTTAGAAAATAGTTCTCTACAGTTGCAAGATGTTGCTATGATCCTTTTGACAGATGCTTTCCATGTCACAAATTTCTGAGTTGTAAAAATACAATTCTTTAGTTTTTTGGGATATCCTCCATTGTAAACCACTTGCCGCAAATTCAGCACCTACTTTAAAAAGGGCCTTGACTGATGGTCTATATGAAAATCCATTGCTTCTTTCCTGTAAAATAATCAAAAATGACAACAGTTAAGAATTATATTTAAAAAATTATTTTACTAAAATATTTTAGCTTTCATTAATAAAATAAAATAAAATAAAGATGAAATCCTCTTTTGATCTGTATGTAAACTGATTAATGGCTTTTCACCAAATATTCTGCTCAAATCCTCCCCCTTTCCAAATTTTTTGCTACCTGAATATCTATTAAGATATAAAATTACAATATAAGAGGCAATTATTTACTTTTCTGCTCATGTTCATATCTACTATCTTCCTTTGCACCACCATCTTTAACATTCTTGAAACAAAGTTTAACATTTGACCAATAAGAATTATTTGTTCTTTAGAGATCAAATAAGTTACATAAAAAAATGCAAAGCCACCTTCAAATTCGGAATTTGTCACTTTCTTCTTCAGGTTTTAAACTTGAAAGGGTAGGCTAGAATTTAATTTAATAGTTACAGTTTTCTCTCTTAGATCTTATGTTTTAAAATCTGCTTGACAAATTAAGCATATCAATGTATTCTTATTGGTTATTAATATATTAAAAACTAATGCTTTAACGATGTTGACATCACCCAAAAAAGGGGGCAATATGGAGATACTCAGAATTTATTAAGGGCAATAGGGATTTACCTTGTGAATCTATATTCCCACTAAAGAGTATCTACAGAGCCACTGAAAAGATAATGGACTTCAAATTGATTAGCTAAAAAGTCTAAACAACTCTTTATTTTAATCAAATCAGGTATCTCTCAAACTTGGACAGTTTTAAAGGCTTTAAACTGAATTCACAGTATGTGACAAGATTATCAACATCAACAGAATCATCTTACTCTGGTTAGTGAACATGTCTATGGTGTGTAGTAAAAGTCAGAACGAACTCTCAAAAAAAAAAAAAACACCATCAACTACTTTTCAAAACATCAAAGAACTTAAGTGTCCTCTAGCGAAGGATTATCCTTTTGGGCATTATAATTTAGTATGCAATGTTTTAAGATCTTACGGGCCTACTACAAAATGAATTCACATAATAAAGTATATCAGGACATACTCTTATTCAAACCAAATGTACTGAGATATTTTCTTTGGTTATAGAGAGATTATGAAAGTATATTATGAAATATGATAAATAAAATTCATCCCAAGAGATGAGAGGGGGAAAAAAACTTATCTTTCTAGAACCTATTATGCTAGCATTAAATTATTTTTCACAATATATTAAAATATGTATGAATACCTATATTTTACATATGAAAATAATGAAGTTCAGCATGATTACATAACTTGGACAGGGGGGTTTGAACCCATATCTCTGGCTGCAAATCTCTGTTTATGTCCTTTCTGTTACCAACTGCAGAGGTCAGGAGAAGAATTCACAAAAATGAAATGGATATATTATAGCCTAAAGTGAGGTATAACTGGATGTGTAGAAAAACTCATGTGGGAGCATTCTAAAAGAGTTAGCAGCAAGACAACTAAAACAACCAATTCTAAACATTTCAACACAACTGAGCTACTAAAAAAGAAAAAATCATAATTTTTACTATTGGTGAAAAGAAAAATCTTAGTAACTAAAAGTGTTTCATTGTTTCCTTCTTACATGTCACTGACCCCACAGTTATCTCTATTCAACATCCAAAATTGAAACCAAGATGAGAGTTCATGAATTTTTCCCATCATCCTTACCTAATTCCTCCCTTAAAAAGTTGAGACGGAGAGAAAAATTAACAAGTGCATCCCCACTTAAAGGAGGTTCTGTTATTGTTTTGTTATGCCTTGCTGGGTTTTTATAAGGAAACCATTCTCCCACAAAGATTTATCCACTAATGCTTTCCTGAGGTATTTGCTAGTGCCCACCTTGAATCAGGCACTAATCTAAGAACTAGGAAGTACAAAGTCAGACGGAACTCAGCTGCTGTCTTTCAGATACTGTCATGATGGAGGAACTTACATTTGAGCAAACAAGTTTAGCAAAGATTTAAGCACTAGGAGACACTCCTCCACAGGTCTCTGGTACTCCTAGCATGTCTTACTGGGTACGCCAAGAATGCAAGGACCCAACTGCCCTTTATCCTAGCCTTTTCTCAGTTATGTTTACAGGGAGCAACTTTGAGGGATGAGGTCATGTCTCTCTTCAGCACAGAGAGCAGCCTTGTGTACCACTTGCTAATGAAACAGTGGATAACCCAAGTTCAATGCTCCTTAGCTATAATGCAATCAACTGTGTATACAACATACACCTGGATCCATATCATATTATGCCCACGGGACACGGAGGCAAGGAGCACCAATATAAGCACGATGCTCATGCTGCCTGCTGTACCATAAGAAAGTCTTTTGTCTCTAACCCAGATGTTCCACATCTTCTGCCTAGCATCCATGAAAGAGTAAAAGACTAACTTACTAGCTTTTAAGTTGGGCAAAATCCAAGACTTGACAGTAAAACTAATAGAGATCTATGAGGTGCTGTAAAAAAAATTAAGGAAGCAGTTTTCTTGGGCATCTTTATCTTGGGGAGTTTGATGCCAAATTTATCAAGCACTAGCAGTGGAGAGGACATATAGTGCAGAGGACATAAACAACTTTTTATCTCACTAAAACTACTCAAAGTCATTTCTCCAGAATTCAGTCCCATTACCTGCCGTGAGAGCAAGCATTCTTGATACATACAGAAATAAGACAAATTTAACTACTTAAAAAGGGTCATGACCTGAGTTTCACTAAACAATAATATCACTAGTATTACTGCTCCTAACAACAATAGCTATCATTTATATATACTTACTATGTCCTGGGCTTTTTCAAACTAATTTGCATACATTAAACTCACGGAACCCTCACAGCAACTTTATGATACAGGTGGTTATAATCTCCATTTTGCTGATGAAGAAAATGAAGTAGAGAGTCAATTATTCAGAGTCACACACCTAGTAAGTGTTGCACTTATATGCAATCTGGCACTAGATTCTGTGCTCTGAAACATAAGCCTCCTGCCTTTCTAGAAAATATGTAAACTGAAAGACCTTACATGGGAAAAATTCACATTAAATATATGTCTTTGTTGGGGTAAAATTGAAGGTGTTTTGTTAAGATTTCTAGGGATCAGACTTATCAAAGCTATGTTGAATATCTACTGCTATCCATTATCCCTGTACTCACAGAGCCAAAAATGCAACTGTCCCATAAAATATATACATACTCAGGAACAGCAGTGAAAAGACACCTAACCAAAAATAAACAAAAAACCCCCTGTGGAGTAACATAAGAACACCACCGGGAGCAGCTCTAATGCTGTATTAATGTCCCTACCTATAGGTAAGTCCCGCTTTCACTAAATAACTTAGAAACTATCCGGTCAGATAGAATGGACTGCTTTTCAGGGTAGTAAATAGGCATATTTACCAATTACAAACACTGGAGGAGCTAAATGTAACCATTTCCAAATGCATCACTTTTGGAAATCTCAACAGTAACACTCCCTTGTCAAAGAAAAATACTCAAACATTCATTTCCTTTTCTACAATTTTTATATTGTGTTTAAGAAGAAGAGATTACAATTATCAGGCATTGGTGTTATAAAAGCCAATGGGGTTATGGAAGACAATAAATAATGGGGCAGGTACAATCTGACAATTCCCACTTGCTTAGAGTTCAATCATTATTGATGAATCTACCTGGTGTCTTACTATTTTCTCATTCTAATAAGATTACTATTCTATTCTTTGCCACTCAGTGAGAGATTTTATTTTAAACAATGACGTGAAAGATAAAAGATGATTTAAAAAAAAAAAAAAGCAAGTACTAGACTTTGTATAACTGAAAATGATCAACAAATTACCTTGAAAGCATCATCATTTTGAGTTTGGTTATAGTAAATCCGGCTTTGTTTATCATTTCAATTATTTCTCCAGCTTTTGATATTGCATCTGGTTTAATCAGAGCCAATGTTCTGTACAGATATAAAGAATAAGATTGAAAATAAAAATAGTTCAGTTTTTACTTATAATTCCCAAGCAGTAGTTTCCTCAAACATCAAAATGAATTATAAAAAGTATATTAAAGGTCTCTGAAAAACTTATACAAAGTAACCTTTCTATCTTTCCCAGGGAAATAAAAATTAGGTACACAATCAAAAAAATAATAATAAAAGCTTAAGGGGGAAAAAAGTTAAAATTGTCATGTTTCATATGTCCTAATTAATGTAGGAAAGGAAAAATTCTTACTCTACCCTTCAAGCAGTTCCAACTGGACTAAGAATTAAATTTACATGAGACAGATTAACAGGAGAAAAAGCCAAAGTTTTACTACGTGTACATGGAGGCCCAGTAATGAAACTGAGACACAAATAAATGACTGAACTGGCAGTTTTTATACTTCCTAGACAAAGAGACAATAAATTTGTGAGGGATTGACAGGATAAAGAAAACAGATGTGGGGAGCCTGGCTGGTTAAGTTAGTAGAGCATGTGACTCTTGATCTCAGAACTGTGAGTTCAAGCCCCACACTGGGTGTAGAGATCCCTTAAAATATTTTTTAAAAAATGTTTAGAAGCTTTAATTAGTAAATAATTCTAAACAGAATTTGGACTGAGGTAGTAGGTTAGAAAGAAAGTAACAAGGTTTGTTTCTAAAGCTTGGTTGACTTTAAAGTTTCTATCTCTGGTGATAAGGATGTCTTTTTTACTTCTTAGTACTATGGGAGATTTATTTCCTGCATCCAGGGGGACAGAAGAGAGTCTGAGTGTCTTTGCACTGGCTGTTTCTTAAGTAACTTTTATTTTAAATAATCAATATGTAAAAGTGGCACATTTTGGGGCACCCTGCTCTTGGCCTCCACATTAGAAAACACCGGTCTTTAAAATTTATATTTCTTAGAACACATTTTATAACAGAGGACAAATCCTTAAAAAAAAATGCATTTAATATATTATGAACTTGATTTTTGGTCTCCTGGACTTTAACAAATGTATGCTAAGCAGTCAGTTCATCACTGATTTGGAAGTAAATTCTTCTTTTAACACTCAAGCATAGCACAAGGGATGCACAAAGAACCAAATGTTTTCTTGACTGGCAACAAATACGGATAGCAAGCACCATGCTAACTTTTATTTATTTATTTTAAATTTTATTTTTTTATGTTATGTTAGTCACCATACATCAGTAGCTTTTGATGTAGTGATCCATGATTCATTGTTTTTTTGTTTTGTTTTGTTTTTAAAAGATTTTATTTATTTATTTGACAGAGAGAGACACAGCGAGAGAGGGAACACAAGCAGGGGGAGTGGAGAGGGAGAAGCAGGCTTCCTGCTGAGCAGAGAGACTGATGAGGGGCTCGATCCCAGGACCCTGGGACCATGACCTGAGCCGAACGGAGACGCTTAACTACTGAGCCACCCAGGCGCCCCCCATGATTCATTGTTTTTGTACAACACCCAGTGCTCCACGCAGTATGTGCCCTCCTTAATACCCATCACCGGGCTAACCCGTTAAAACCCTGTTTGTTTCTTAGAGTCCACAGTCTCTCATGGTTCATCTCTCCCTCCGATTTCCGCCCCCCTTCATTTTTCCCTTCCTTCTCCTAATGTCCTCCATGCTATTCCTTGTGTTCCACAAATAAGTGAAACCATATGATAATTGACTTTCTCT